TACGTGCCTTCAGGTGTGTATTTGAGTGGTTGCAATTACCCGATGTGTTTTGTATTTTGGATACATGTGTTTTCCGAATGACACCCTGAAATTTCATTTTGTGAGCGAAGTGTCTTATGTATGAAATAGAGTGTAGCATGCAGGACCATGTGTGTTGCATAAAGGAGTAGGTGTGTTGCATAATTGGAACTGGGGTGCAAAGCAGCGCTTTTGTTTAAGGTAGGGGTACATGTGTTTGAGGTATGGTAACAAAAGCTTCAAGTTGTGTTACTTTAGTCTAGGCATGGGTTCATGGTGTTCAAGCAACGGGCAAAAACTGTAACGGTGCCTAGAACACATATGCGGCACACACATACTACACATTTACAGCATCTAGCAAAGACAGGCACAATGATGACAATAATTGAAGTAAAAAACACACAATCAGAAATATCAGGGTGGCTAAATATACAGTATGTGTGTGTTTTACAGTGTTGGAAAAGAAATGACACCAACTTCCCCCACAGGAGAATTGTAGAAAAGGGGAGAGGCCAAAGGGTTACCTAATATTTATAGGCTTGCACCAAAGAAGAAGAAGAAGAAGAATGAGGAGGTGCTCTAACTGATAATGAACATAACTACAGGCCTGGAAGTCCTAAAAGTCAGGTATGAAAGGAACAGTTTGGGGTCTAGAACACATTTTGTGTAAGTATAACAATATGTGATTTGTGACTCTACACTTGCCATGTTGTTGCTTCTTCTCATCTCTTCCCTACATGGAGCTTCAGCGCCAGTTCATTCATTTTTTTCTGTCCAAGTGATAAAAACTGACATCAAACAGTAAAGACAACACTAAAAAATGTGATCCAGAGAATGTTTGCCTTCAAAGTGGTGGATTTACAGTCAGTGTACAAACTACAGACAGCTATAGTAGTGATCAAAGCTATTGAAAGGAGGGTACTGGTGCAGCACTGTATACGTCTGTGTGACTGATTTCTCCTAGCGACTGCCTGAGATCTCAAACAAGCATTTTCCACACATTTTTCTATAGTGACTGGTGATTATCAATCGGTCTCTAGGTGTATGTCATTGGGGTATAGAATATTGTATAGTAGTATGGATGTGAATTAAGAGTAACACTTGTCAGTAGAGGCACATAGAGCTAAAATACAAATATTCATAGATTCTGGGAAGTCATCACATTAAATATTCAATACATCTGGGCAATGTTGCTGCATTAAATGAGAGACCTGCAGCCACTCTGCACATCTCTAAATGAACTTTAATTAAACAAGATTATTTAGTATTCAACAACAGCCCTTCTGTGTTTTAACTGTATGACACACACACACACACACACACACACACACACACACACACACACTTTTATATTTCCATTCACTGCTTAACAAAAGCTAAGAGAGTTCTCATTTTGACCTCAATTTTCCTAAAAGGTTTTACGATAGTAGAAACACCAACTGGGATGCGAGCTGCTTTTGCACTTTTGCACTCAGGATGAAAATGCAGTTGGCACGTATAAGCTATAAACATCTGCAAAGTAGTGATTTTCTGTAACTATATATACATCACTCAGAGAGACATCTGAGCTGTGTTATCGGTGCATGTGTGAGTTCAGGGTGGTTATGGCCTTTGGGAAACTGTTTTTGAGTCTGTGGGTTTTGTGCTGATGCACCTGTAGCGCTTCCCTGAGGGAAGCAGGCTGAACATGTTGAAACCAGGGTGGGAACTGTCCTTGATGATGTTTGCTGCTCTGCTGAGGCAGCGGGAGGAATAAATGTCTATCAGGGAGGGGAGAGGGCAGCCGATGATCTTTTGTGCTGTCTTGACTGCACTCTGAAGCCTCGCTCTATCCGCCTTAGTGCAGCTGCCGTACCATACCGTGACGCAATAAGTTAGCAGGCTCTCAATGGACGAGCGGTAGAAGGTTAGGAGCAGGTTGGAGTTCCTGAGGACTCTCTGCCTCGTCTCCCTTTGAGATAAGTCCCACTACCGCAGTGTCATCAGCAAACTTGATGATGATATTGTTGTTGTGGGTCGAACTGCAGTCGTGGGTGTAGAGAGAATACAGGAGGGAGCTCAGCACACAGCCCTGTGGGGAGCCGGTGCTCAGTGTGCGAGTGGAGGAGAGATGAGGACCGAGTCTTACAGTCAGGGGCCGGTTTGTGAGAAAGTCCTTTATCCAGGCACATTTGGTTTGGGAAAACCCGAATGGTTTTGTCCACAGTCACATTTCCAATACAGAACTTGATATAGTCCAGTACTGATCCTGTGAAAGTTTCTGGTCCTGGTGTTCAAATATGTCCCAGTCTGTCTGTGTGAAGCAGTTCTGTAGTTTGGAGAGAGCATTTTCAGGCCAGGTTATTGTTTTGATCACTCTTTAAGATCAAAACAATAATGAATAACAATCCAAAAACACAAAACACTGGGTCAAAGACCCAGAATCACGACACTACTGCCTTGTCAAAATTCACTATTTAGTGTAAAAGCGTGCCAGGATTATGCAGAAAGATTAAGGCGGCGCTAGTTCGTCACCTGGGTGTATAGTCTGGTATTTTAAGAGTCACCCAGCTTTAACATCACATAGTGATTGATAGTCATCCACAAAGTCTGATGTTATTTTTTGATTACTCTTGTTGGTAATGTCTGTCATGAAGCAGCTGTGTGCACGCAGGAAAAGGAACCAAAAGCAGACTTCACGGAGTCGGAAATGTAAACTCAAAAACATGTTTATTGTTGGCAGGGAAAACTACAACAAACTACACTGGGAAAATATGAACTAAACACACAGAGAGGCACACAAAGAAACACACAGCCATGGAAGAGGGACAACAAGTAGGGGACAATAGAGGACTAAAATACATGACGGAGTAATCAGGAAACTGGAGACAGAAGGGAAACACAGCTGGTACTAATGACACAAACGAGACGGGGAACAGGGGCTGAACATAGGGCAGAACTGTCAAAATAAAACAGGAAGCAAGAGACAATTAACAAAGATGCACACTAGACACAAAGACGTGGAAACATGACAGACCTAAGAAAGCTGGATCAAAGTAACCCAGAACCATGAAAATGATATTCTGAGGATGATGCAAATTTGCAAACAGAGAAATAAAGAAATAATGCCAAATACAACACATTTGATAAGATCTCTTTATCATCAGTGTGAACATGAACAAACTGAACAGTAAATATAGCAAAAAATGATTTAAATTAAAACTCATATATGCAAATTATTATTTAGTTCCTTTAAAAAAATTGTCACATGGTTCAATAAAGACTCCAGTTTAAAAAATGAAAATGAAAATCTGACAATTATTTCATGGTTTGGGCTTTATGGGGTTAATTTATTGCATTTTTATTACATAATAAAGGGATGAGAGAGTTTAACACAGTTCCAGTGCAGAGCATGAAACTGATGATGTTGCAGAGAGTTTATAGCCACTGCCAGTTTCCAACACTTGTCCCTGGTTGGGCTTTTACATCCCCAGCACACAAATTAAACTTTACAGTATTCAAAGGTTTTCTTTTCCATCCTGGTTCTCTTTTAAAGCTTCTTGCTTTAAAAGTTTGCTGTTCCCAGCTCGATGACCTGCAAATCACTGTCCCATCGGCGCTATAGTCCTATTCTCACATAACAGGCATCTGAGTTTGTCAGCATCATGAGTCTGAAAATGATGAAGAAATGGACTTCATCCAGAAAAGAAAGTCCTTAATTTCATTTGCTTTCTAATCCTCCCCCCTCTCAGTCCTGCATCCTGTACCTGTCACCTCTCTACTCCCTTCATCCTGTTCTCAAAACTCTCACCTCTACACCCCCCACCCAACTCCTTACTCTAAAACCTTCTCTCGCTTCCTTTTCTCAGTGTTTCGCCTCTCATCTTCAGCCGGTCGTTTCCCCGCTCCGCTACTCCACCTCTCCATCCCCTCTTTCTTTCCTTCCTTTCTCTCTCTTTTTTTTCTTTTCAATCAGCCTCCTCTCCACTGCCCTACATTGACTCTCTTCTTTTCATTCCCTCTGTTACACTTTCTCTCCCCTCTCTCTTTCTCTCTCTCGCACTCTCCCTCTGATATCCAGCACACAATACAGTGAGAATCGGAGGAAAATGAGGGAAGCAGTGAGTCTGGAATGACAGGACATAAAGAAGGGGATTTTTGGGACAGGCGATTAGCGGGAAGCAAAACAAAAAGCCCCTTGTCAATCTGGCTTATAATTCCATTAAAATTTGTAAATGTGGTAGTTTACTTTGAGAAAAGCTCCTATAATTGGCCTCAGTGGAGGCATATGAATATGTGTGTGAGTGCATGTGTGTGTGTGTGTGTGTGTGTGTGTGTGTGTGTGTGTGTGTGTGTGTTAGTCTTCAGCGGTGTGTGCCAGTCTCGGCTCCCAGTTTCGGTATTTCCTGCGCAGGTTGGTACTGAAACACAGGAGTAGGCAAAGCTAGAGTTGGACCCTCCTGACTCCTGAATCTGACACAAACAGATGCTTACAAGACACACACGCACACACCTACATGCACACACTCGACACAGAAATCCACAAACAAGTGTGTTACCTAAGCCTGCGGCAGGAGAGGAGGGCGGGGAAGAGACATGACAAGACGGATAAGGGATAAGGATGGGGAGGCAGGGTGGGTGGACGACGAGGTGGGGCTTCTGTGTGTGTGTGTGTGTGTGTGTGTGTGTGTGTGTGTGTGTGTGTGTGTGTGTGTGTGTGTGTGTGTGGTATGATAGGGGCCAAGATTTCAACATATAGTAAACACACACACACACACACACACAAACATTTGAGTTTTTTTCTTTTTTATATTTTCCCCATCTCTCTCCTTCCAGTCCTTTTCCCCTCTGGGAATGATGGGAAATGCAGCTGGATATAGCGCCCCTCTGCCAACAATCCCCCCCACCCCACACACACACGCTCTCTCCTATCTCTCCTCTCTCACTGTCTGGCACTGAGTGGAAGTAAACAGAGGCGGAGATCGCATTTGGTTCCTGAACTGTTTCAGGGCTCGGTGCAACCACCACACACACTCTTTTGACTTCTCTCTCACACATATGGACAAATACACACACACACACACACACACAGCGCAAAGGGGATCTTGGCAGCAGAGGAGCCTAAAAGTCATTGACCGAACTCACATCAGCCGCCTTTGTCTGCACAGCGTTTGAAGAAGAGAAGAAGAGCAAGAGGTGATAGAGAGGACTGTAAAGACGAGTGTAAAGAGGGTCAAAGGAGTGCATCGCTTTGGGTTTGTTTAAGTCGTTCAATTAAATCAACGGCTGAAAATGGAGAACACGTGAGGGGAAAGAGGAGCGAGGGTAAACTTGGGGCAAAAATGCTGCTGGCTAAAGTTTGTGGATATTTCTAGAGGGATTTCATTTTATTGCCCTTGAACTTTGAGGAAGAAACGCACAGGGTCGACAGAGGACTGCGAAGAAGGTGAGAACCCAGTCAATGATTTTCAAGCATGAAATGACTTGCCTATTTAGCTCTTTCAAAACTAAACAAAATTGAACTGTCACTTGCTTTTCTGCATTTTTTTAATATCTTTGAAAAGTAAGTTGAGAAGCCTCCTTAGACTGATTCTCCCAGCTGATTATCGAATCGAATAGAAACGAATCGAATCGAATAGAATAGCCCTTTATTGTCATTGTACATGTACAACAAAATTGTGAGTGCTCTACACCAACTGTGCTGGAATAAAATATTAAATAGTAAGACAGCATGAGTAAATAACAAACATGAAAAATATTAATAATCACGAGGAACATAGGAGGAAGAAACACAAAAGAAGAACAGGTTGCAAAGTGTTTGGAAGTAGTGTAATGCACTTGGTCTGAGTGGAGTCGGTGTGTGATTAGGACAGGATATTGTATGTTAACGGTGGCAATGGCCCAGGGGAAGATGCTGTTTGTGAGTCTGCAGGTGTGGAACCTGATTGACCTGAGGCGACATCGGGAGTGGCAGCGGGTCAAACAGGTGGTGAGCGGGGTGCAAGAGGTCACCTGTGATGGCCCTGGTTTTACTGAGACAGGATCTGGTGATGGGCTCAAGGGATAGCAGAGGGCAGCCAATGGTTTTTTGGGGGTAGTGTTAATTAGCCTTTGCGTAGCCTTCCTGTTGTTTCCCCTGCATACCAAACACCCAGGGAGTAGGAGAGAGCAGCGAGTGTGTATCACATCGCCTTTTATGACAAAAGTCTCCGATAGTGACCTATTTAAAAATGTACTCTGCCCTCTTTTCATTATTGATTTCATAAATGTGTCAGATCAATAGATAAGTCATGTGTTTTAACAGGAACATGCTTTGAGATACTTCTGGGAATTTTTTTTAGACTGTGGGGATTTTTTGGTTTGCTTTTCTCAGTAAAACTACTTTTACCTTGTTTGATGTCTGTGCTGTTTCTCTGTTGCTAACACTCTTCCACCTGCTTCCCTCCTATTCAAAGCCTGTAGGTGGAACATTGGGTTCTCCAGGAAACATGGCAGCCACCAACCCTTTCTCCTGCCCCTTTTTTCTCTCCTTCCTCTTTTTATTCTTGGTGATCCGGCCAGCCTTCGCCCAGGGTCCATCAGTTACAGCTGTGGGAGTAACTGAGGATTCACCTACCACACTGACTAACCAGACAACTACCAGCTATACAGAGACCACCCAAAACACTCCTCCAGAGACAGGGCTTTCCACTCCCAACAGTGGTGGAGATACAGATGATGAGGATCTCCCTCCTGCTGGTGGGACACGTTGCCAGGGTTACTATGATGTCATGGGTCAGTGGGACCCACCTTTCAACTGTAACGCCGGTGTCTTCCTGTACTGCTGCGGTACCTGCTTCTACCGTTTCTGCTGCCAGTTCCGTCAGCAGCGCTTGGACCAGAACATCTGCTCCAACTATGACACTCCCATCTGGGCAAACACTGGCAAACCAGTTGCCACCATTACTGAGGGACAGGGAGACCTGGACCGGGACCGCACGCAACTTATCGTGTACATCATCTGTGGGGTGGTGGCCATCATGGTACTGGTTGGCATCTTTACTAAACTGGGCCTGGAGAAGAGCCGTGGGGGAAGCGGAGGAGGAGTAGGAGGGGCAGCACAGGCCGACCTCAACTCCAGGTGAAGAAGCGTGTGTGTGTGTGTGTGTGTGTGTGTGTGTGTGTGTGCCCGCGCACATGTGTGAGAGAGATGCATGGGTTTCCAAATTTCTAGAAAACGCTCATTTATCCCCTAATTAAAACATACGACAAAAGACATGTTTATTCTTTATCGATGGGGCTTTTTTTCTTGTTGTATATGAATGTAGATCATTTGTTGTATTGGAGTAAGCCCAACCACAGACACAGGAGAGGTACTCCTCTCCTTTGGCACTCTGTGCACACCAGCAGGTTAATAACCAAGCAGTAGTCATGAGGGAAAAGGAGGAGGAAGGTTATTCGTGAGGATTCATTTTTCCAGCTTACAGAGGTTATTGTTAGATTGCTAATAAATGAAGACAATGTTCCCAGCCCTTATACTTTATACCTAAAAGTCACCTCAAAACACAGACACGTGCAAAAACCATTCTGAAATACAAAACAGTTACAGTCAAGGGTTAACAAATGCACATTTTGAATTTGAGACTGGTCTGTGACCCCCTTGTAATTACTGGTCTCCAGGCAAAAACATTGGACTCCCCAATTGCTTTGGTTGCTATCAAATTGTTATGGTCACCTGTACTTTGCATGGAACATGTCTGTCTGCAAACACTAGCCAGGTATTCTTCAAGCAGCATAAAACTGAAAAGTGCAACTAAAACCTACCTTTAAAGGAAACATTGGGATATATATTAGTATAATACCCCTTTGCCACTGATTTCATCTACAGACAGCCAGAAACTTCTATGAACCCAACCATTGGTTGCATAATGTCCAATATGGTGGACGTGAGTCAAGCAATGTGTGTATCACATGATGCGCAAAATCGCTATACTAGGCTAGGCGCTGCTGAAGAAAGTCCATCAGACCATTTGAAACTGAGTCTGACTTATTTATTAGGAGAGTAATATTAGCTATTTGGCAATTTACTGGTATCAACATTTATCATGTTATGATGAAAAATGAAAATTTAAAAGTAAAGAAATGGAGAAATGCCCTCCAACTACAAACTTGGGTCATCTGTCCACCAGAGGGCACCCCACAACTTCCCCACAAGCATCACAACCAACTGATCTGAGCAGAGTCAGGCAGAGGGTAAGAGAGTCGAGAAATAGAACAAATGCACTTGATAAGTTTTAAGAAAATGTGTTTATCTTTTTTTTTTAAAGTAACTAAGTACTGTATTTTTAAATCACCAAATATTTTTTCCTCAAACATCCAATAGACAATGAAGCTTTAACCTGAAGTTGAGTTTTATGAGTGCAAATTTGAACAAATTCAGTAAAAACTTGATCTTCTCAGTCCAAACATCAGGCACATTATTGACATGTCTGAAAAGTTATAATGAGTATGGCATGTCCTGGGAAATATCTGCACATGAATGAAGATCACTTGCAAATATTACCAAAGCTCAATGACATAAGCGAACATCAACAAAAGTTCCCAAAGAACATTTTAACATTCGTTAACTCATCAGTTTTGAATCTGAATCTACTTAATGACGCATCTCATTATTTAAGTGATTACATTTTGTGCAGTACCAGCACTTTTTATTTCTTGGTTTTTGGAGATGCTGATGTATGATCCTACAGAGGTTTACAGGGATGTGTTTAGATTAGAATTGGCACTGAATGGGGCCTTCATGGATGGCACTACTGAAAATGACAGTTCTGCTGAAAGAGAATAGCACAGGAAGACGCTTGCAATTGCACAAATACAATGTCAGTATTATTTGAGAGGTGAAATAGCGTAAACAACATCACAACAACACACAGTGTTAAACTTATCTCGGCTTTGAGGCAACCACCAATGGGAGTGAAGCGAATTGTTGATTGACATAACTGGGGGTTGGTAAACAAACATGAGGGTGGAATGTCAAAAATAGTGACCAGCTGTCAGCTACAAAGTAATGTGCTGTGAGCAAATTGCTTTATATGTGGGTGAGGCTTAATTTTCAGTTTAAAGTCTAAAGTGTCAGCTATGGATGTGAACTAGTTTATCTTCACCTGTGTTAACTAAGCTTTGAGCTAGTGCTTCATCGGTGTACACACCTAAAACTTTACATATTTATTCTTGTTTATTCTCTTGTCTATTCTTAGGGTTCATTTATTTGTTTCTTTTTCAGTTTTTCTTTTATATTTCAGCTCTTTGCGTACTGTTTGCTTTTCTTGTAAGCATGAAACAGAGAAAACCAACTTTCTAGTTTTTGAGGGTTTGTTTTTTGCAGCTAGGCACTTTTAACTTGTGCGTCTGTGTTAGAATGTCTCATGTGTACAAATGTGTCAGGGTTTCAGAAAGAGCACATGAAGTCACATTTTACACTGTGAATCTGATGCTTTTAAACTGAGTTACTGAAACACAACCTTGAGAAGAAAAAAGATTTGTAGTTTGAGTTTTAGCCTTTCTCCTGATACAAATGCAATTGTGCATACACTCCAGCTGCAGTATAGAGTTAAATACATGGTTCAAAGTTCAGTCTATTCGCCTCAGGAAATCATTACAGCGCAGCATGGGCTCACATCTCTCTGCTTTCATCCTGAACCAACTCTCTAGCTGCCTCTTCTTTCTTTTCTCCATAGAGTTTGTTCTTCTTATCTCTCCAGGCTTATTGTTTTTGATCTCATTTTCTTGCTTGAAAATCTGTTTCATCACGCGCTATTTGTCCCTCTCATCCTGAATTTCTTCACCACAAATCACTTTGTTTTGGTTCGTAAGAGTCCTCTCCTTCAGCCTTCTTCCACGTCTCCTTTGTTCCTTCTTTACCAGGTCAAATGTCCTTCTATCAACCTCTCTTGCTTTTTATCCCCCCTTTCACTCGCAAGGATAAGAAGTGAAACCAGCAGCTACTTTCAGTCACTCTGATCTTCATGCATTCCTCCCTCCTTTTCCATTTCACTTTGCAAACATCCCATCTCTCCCACATCATTTTTCTCACTTGAATTTTAATTGAGAAGCTAAACATGAGGACAGCTGCACTGGTGCCACCAAAACCTCCATTGACCATCATTTGTCTTTGAGTGTCTCCCATTAACTCAAACTGCAAAACTCATTCTGCAGATACCAAACCACTAGGATTAACATTTTCTGCAGGGTAGCACCTAAGCTGAAATAGAAACACTGTGGCGGCATAAACATCCTCCCTCCGTGAGCCCATCTTGACAGATTACTGCTCCCCTTTGAGATTAAACAAATTTCACTGAGATTACAGCTTTACCATTTTTGGGTTGCTCTGCCTGCTTGCTTGTTTAGTTATTAGCCTGCTGACATAAATCCCTGCTATAAAAGTGTACGTGCAATCCAGGACTTCATATACAGCACACACACTTCATGAGGTGAGATGCACAAATTCTGCATGCGCTTTAGAGACGGATGTTAGAGCGGCCAAGCACAAAGCAAGACTTTTGCAATCTGCACGTGTGCACCTGCTTCCCACCACAGGTTTCTCTTTCTCTTAACATCCTGCAAGCAGAGGGTGATTAGCGGGCTAAAATCCTAACAGTTTTCCCAAATCAGCTTTGAAAGTTAAAATCCAGAGTGATCCTCCTCGCAGACCTCCTTCCCCTCTCCTTCCATGCACACACACACTAAAACCACATTTTGAGTTTGAAAAATGCCTTCAAACTTGTGGGGACCGGGATTTTGTCCCCATAGCATCGTAAACTTCCAATTTTCGGTTCCCACAAAGATATATAAACAAGGACATACACACACACACCTTCTAATAGCCCTCGACTCGTTCCAGCCGCACAAGGTTCGGGGTATTTGCAAGCCGCACTAATCCCCAGCCAACAATGGAGAGCGCCTTAGGTCACGCGTGTCGTGTTTAATGAAAGGCTTCAACTGGAGCGGGGCCGGTTGTACACCGTAAACAAACAAAAATGACCTTTAATGATTTTACGTGTACACGCACACATACACTCACACTCATCTTGATTTATAGTTCAATTAACAACAAGAATAATAGCGGTGGCATTTGGGTTACATGTGCATGGGTCAGATCACCACAGTGAGAGGTCAGAACAGCCATGAGGCGAGATGTGTTGCAACATAGCGTCCAGCTAGCAAAGCGGGAGAAACCTGGAAACAACATGGTGGAGGTCACATGGTTGGGATGGAGGGCTGTGTTTTTGCGCAAGTAAGTACATTAATGAGTGTGTGTGACACAGCGCTCCAGGTGCTCTCAGAAAAGAGAGGAAAAGATTGGGTGGATAGAAGAAGCCTCGCTTCCGAAATCTATTTATATTTTACTAATTTCTAGCAGCTAGCATGTTTCGAAGACAAGACAGCTGTGACAACTGTTAATTAATCTATGTGTCAAGGCACAACAATAATGACAGGAATTTTTAATTTAATGTATGAGTGACTTTTTGTTGCCAAAGTGATTATAAAATATTCATTTAGTCTTAAATAATAGCAGCGGCCAAAAATGCTAGTTTCGTGATGTCCCTCTGGCGTCACTGATCAGAGATAATGTGTCAAATACAGCACTGCACCTACTCTTGTCCTCAACACACTGCCAAGACTGAAACAATCAGGGGAACAGTCACAAGAGACAAGCATACACAGAGTTGTTCATTTAAAGATCCATTCATCAGAGACCCATTTATTCATTCATGTATTTTTGAACTGCTTGTCCAGTTCAGGGTCACAGGGACTGGAACCTTGCCCATCTGACTTCAGGCAAGCGGCTGTGTACACCCTGGACAGACTGCCGCTGCAGGGCTAATACAGAGTGACTGACAGCCATTCATGCTCTCATTCACAATTGTGACCAGTTTATAATCGCTGATTAATGCTAACAAGTGTGCGTGAACTCAGAGTGAACCCATGCGGGGACAATTGTGCCCCTAAAAGATTGAAAACTTTTTCTGGTGAAGAAACCTCAAACAAAAACCCTTCCTACATCAAAGGACGCTTCTGTTGGAATTCTTTTTCACAACATTATCCTTTCTGTTCTTGAGGTTTCCATCCAGCATCAAAGCT